TTTTGTTTTGTAACTTAACAGTCGTTAAGTAATCATCGATTTAATGGCTAAACAAATTAGAATTAAACCTATTTTTTAACCCTCCCGCACCCCGCGCATTCCCCGGTAGGCGTGATTCGAAGTTTGAAGAATTTGATAGGCTAACTTTTTGTTTTCAAAAGTACTTACGGCTTCACCGAAACACATTATAAGCGTATACTAAATTAATTACTTCGTCACTTAATACGTGTAAAGCAGACATAAGTCTCGCATTTGAATTATCATTTCTTTATTTCCTCGTCTCCGTGATTTTTCTTTTTTTTTTATACAAAAAGTGCACATTTGATCTCCATCTCAGCTGATGGAAAGTGACGATGAGGTCGATGGAGCATGCATAGATATGGAAAAACTGCTTATTTTTTTAAACGTTAAAACGTTGTGCGTTTTTTAAAAAAGCTTGCTTATATAAACGCTTTTCACTTAAAACTCTTTTTAGTTTGTAGCTTAAAAAATCGTTGAGCAAAACGTTTAAGCGCATACTTTTATGTTAAAAAAAGCTTGCAAGGTTGTGTTGATTGCGATAAGCAAGAGTAGACCAGTAAAGGTTTTAAAATAAATAAGTTTATTTGTATAACCCGAGTTTTATTTATATTTATAAAATTATTATTCACATTGAAGAATTAATTTGTTTCGGAAACATAAATGGCGGGACTTGAAGCGTAGCACGTTGTAAAAAATGAAATTGTTGAGTATCGAGCATTGACTTACAGTAAGTCAATGGTATCGAGCATTTTTTTTATTATGTATGTTAGTCTATAAGGTATGTATTTATGGGTCTTTGTTACCTGAATGCAAATAAATAAATAAAAAAAATTGAACTGCTTATTTTAAAAAGAAAACATTTTAAAGTGCTTTTCGTTTAAACGCCCACTTCTAAGCATGGACACCTAAGTAATGCCTTTTCACGATATTTGAAGAAGAGGCATCTGTTGAAGAACTTAAAATTGGCTGTCAGGTACATTATGAAGAAAAAGCCAACACATTGTAAACAATATTCTGTTTTAATATGTATTTTGTAAATACAATAAGTAGCTTATTTGTACACATCCTACATTGCTTATAAGTACAAAACCCAATTATAGCTATATATATAAACGAAAGGATCACAGAAAACGCCAATAAAACAGGCAGTGTTTAGTCCATTTTTAATTAAAATCAACAATTCGTTTGCTACGCTGAATAAAAATACATTTCTATTTCTTTGTAAGTAAATTGTACCCACAATGGTTAATGAAGTTTTTGCAATAAACACGCAAGATGGAGGAAAAACCATTTACACCATAAATGGAAATGATTACAATTTTGCAGATTCTTTAAAAATGTAATAAAGGGACTAGTCTACTGTCATAAAAAACTCATGCTAAGCCTTTGACCCTGTTTAAAAACTATTGAAAGAACGTTGGCAAGCCATTTTGTTACGCCCGTAGTGCATTTACAATACTGTTGAAATATTACACATTTTTCAGCATTGCTTTCTTGTAATATTATATAATTCAATGTAAGTCTTGTCATATAATGTAATTCTAACAACAAGAAGCAATAAGCACGTAGAAAAATTGGTAAAGTCCGCTGGTTCGTCACGCAGCTCAGTTGGGAGAGCGTACGCACGGTATGCTGAAGGCGCTGGTTCGAATCCAGCCGGATCGAAGGAACTTTTATTAGAATTTGACCGTCGATCCATTTAAAACTGTTAACATTTGTTTTTATCAAACAAATCATCGATTCGGCAATCGATTCCGAATAATCTCAGTACAGATTCTAAAAAAAGCCAAGTTTATTGAAATCGGTTACCGGAAAGTGCGCGAAACCGGATTCATCCCCACTCTTAGGCTCAACTCACACTGGCACAGAGTCGAAGCGTCGCGTCGCGTTTTCTTCAATTTAAATGGGACAAATACTGAGGTACCCTCTGCCCAACAAACAAAAGAATCATCGAAATCGATTTACAACATAATCAGTCGTAAAAATAAACAGAGCTTTGCATGAGAAATTGTATGCTTCGAAGTCTTGTACCGAATGATTGCTGAGAAAACGGCAGCCAAAGAGAGTTTCTAGGTTTCCGCGATCGTTACATATAGGAAATGACGTGTTAATTTTTTTGGGATCTAATATCGGTTACACACGGCGACTTTGCATCGCGACACTTGCGATTAATAGGCGGTTTCGCATCAATGCAGTCGCTAATGTTGAATAATTAAAAACGTATATCGCGTTTGCATCGTGACTGCGTTTAAATATTTTATTAAATAAACCAACGCTTTGCGCAGGCCCGTCAGGAGTCAGCTGTGACTACGGGACCTATGAAGGACTCGAAACTTTTGTTAATTTGAAAAAACAAATATATGCGAATTAGATCTGAAAAAATAGTTTTATTTCCAAAGAGAGTCTAGAAAGCTCGAACGAATATGAATCGGATGCAGTACACTAACACGGTTACGGAAGCATCGAGCGTAATTACAATATAACCTTAAAAAGGTTAGTCTCTAAGCAGAGTCTTGCAGATCTATTCAAATTTGAGCCATGCCGAAGCCATAATTAGCTTTTAATGTTAAAAATAAAAGCACCTAATATTAAATATCAATATGTTGATCAGTCGATGGTGAGCTGTCTGAAAGAACCGTCAATACCGAAGAGTTCGTCGTAGTTTGTTGGTTTCCCTGGTCTCAGATCTTCATTTACTTTTATGGGGTCTTGAGAAATAAACCAGTCACGATATGTAATGAGAGTCTTGGTCCATTGTTCTGTAAAAGAAAATTTTATTAATATTCAGTCTTTTTGAAGATGGAGTAAAATGATATTTGCAGGGCTGCCAATTTTCAAAAAATTTTGAATAGTCTTGTAGTAGTTATCGACAGTTTTATCGAAAGATTGTGAAAGAAAGCTAAATTGTGCCAGAAATGTACGATTTGTGATTATTACGACGTTCTATTAATTTCTTTTCAATTTACATGTAACGAATAATGGAGCGATGATGATTCAAATGATACAAATTCGGCTATTTATATCGATAGTATATTTATCGACTGCAATCACTAGCTGCTTGCAAGCGGGCAATAGTTTTGCTCAATTAACTGTCATTTTATTCCAAAAAAGACAGATTATAGTTTATATGCATTTGCTAAACATAACAACTTTTCATGTGAATTCATTGGATTTAATTTCAGTTAACATAATTTCAGTTGACATTATTTCACCTTATATATTATTTATTCTACTTATTATTATGTTATAATTGAGCCTATCAACGCAAAAGTGGTGTATTTCGCATTCATTTGTTTTTCTACAATATTACTTTAAATAATACTAAATTTCATAAATGTCTCGGGTTCGATTCTCGGAAAATATTTGTATAGCCTACATTTATTTCTCTCGTGAGTTTGGGTGTAATTTGTGGTTGTCTATGTGCGTGTCCATGGCACCCGCGATACAAGGTTTGTGCGTCGCGATACATAACACATGATACTAATTTACAGGGACGCATAAGTCGTGCGCCTGGTGGTAAGCGACACGCCTGTCCATAGCCGTTCTAGTGCCACTTAGAGCGTTAAATTGCAAACATTTGAGGGGTATGAGTTGACAACTCCCGTGTGCCTGTAATTTCACCAGCACCCTCACCCTTCAAAATCGGAATGCCGTACCCACATTATTACTTGGCGACAGTAATAGGTAAGGTCTCAGTACTTCTCTGGATGAACTCATTTTCAAGGGGCTCTACTGCTACTACTGTATAGTGTTAGAGCGGCGAAAGAAATTCGTCAATTTACAAACCCTGTAGAGCATCCATAGTACTGGAAGTGCCTCCATACTCTTCTGGCAGCATGTCTTGAGGTACATACTGGTAAAGGTCCTTTATTTCTTTATGGAGGAAAATCTGAAAGGGGAAACATTGATCACAGTTGAAATAGATGTCGTCAAAAAAAATTTTCCGTATACTAATACATTTTGCTTGGGTCGAGCTACAGGGACACTGGCTATATTTCAGAATTTATTTTTTACAAATAAATTAAAGCCGTTTGAAAAATGTGTATCGTATACTACACGTGTTCTATTTAGTTCAGTTCATATAAAAAAAAAAATCACTGGACGTAAATTACCTATTGAATACAGCGGTTTTGTTGTAAAATTTCGCGATAATTTTGTTTTGTTTTTTTTTTTTTTTCTATCGTGAAAATTTTTACGAATCGTGTTTTCACACAGTATACTAATCAGTGTATATCTTCAATATTACTATATATTTTTTCCAAAGTGATTGGTTCAACACTTTCACTGTTATGCGGAATCAACTGAAGCCATTTGAGGGTGTATCGTCTCTTAATGAAGGAAATAAGATAATTTATAAGTAGATCTTCCAGACAGGACTTTCAGTGATTATTTCCGTCTGAATTAAATAATCTGCTTTAGCTTGGAAAAAATAAATGAATGAATTTCCTTTTCAACGACTTTGAATATACTTTATATTGAGTTCTAAGGATTCAACCATTGTTACATATCGGAAATGAAACTAGTTTTTTGCATCAAAATCGCGTAGAGATCTCAAAATTTTTGAGGAATTACGTCTACTTGCTAAGTTTTAACGGAAAGTGGTTGAAATTCAATAAACCGGCTTCATCTCCTAATTTGTCACCCTTACAGGTGAAATATTTTCTTCAAATTTAAATGGGACCATTACTGAGGTATCCCCTTTCAAAAAAAAAAAACATCGAAGTCGGTTCACAAACGTAGGAGGTATCGCGTAACATACCAGAGACGAGGCGTACAAAATTGTCTTGAGTAAAGCCCGAGCAAAACAAAAAACAAGTCGCGCCTTGGCGACTTATTAGCATACGAGATACTAGTATACTTTATTTCACTGGTTAATTATTCTACTTTACATACATACATAAGCTCACGCTCTAGTCCCACAGGAAGGGTCTTTTTGGCTCCTCTTTGTTCTATTCTGACACATCTTTCGAGTCTCACATACATCAACTACCGTTTTCAAATAACTTCTTTTATTCTTGTCATTTCGGATCCCAGCCTTTTTGAGGACATCACTGATCAATGTAAGTCCTTCTGAGACGTCCTCTTAAAACCCTTCCATCCACATTCGCATCATAAACCTGGTTGGTAATTCTTCTTACATCCATCCGCTGTACGTTTCAAATACAATATTTGATAACACGTGGAAAATTTTAGACAAGCCGATGGGAATCGAGTAATATGGACGCCTCGCCATTGTAACATACACACACACATAAAAAACACAATCCAATTGAGAACCTTCTCCTTTTATTGAAGTCCGTTGAAAATAGTTTAATTTCCAATACATTTACAATGTGTTAAACTTACCCGTTTTCGAATCTTCTCTTTAAGGAAAGGCTTCACGAAGTTAATGAATCGTTCTACGATCGGAGATGTGTTCACGATATGAACTTCTTTCAGCTTTATGGGGTAGGCTTCCTGAAAATATATATGAAGGATATTTAGTTAATTTGAAGACAATTTGGTAAGTGACCACCAGCCAGATTGTCTGATGACATCAAAGAGACAGACTTCTTCTAGATCAGAAGAACTGGCAATGACGCAGAGTGGCGCAAAAGTGGAACGGCATAAAGATGTGGGATCGTGTGTCGACAATGTGTGTTTTGTAGCAGTAGAGCTCCTTGTGAAAGAGTTCGTCCAGGGTAGTACTGCCATTTTATCTATTTCTGCCGCCAAGCAGTAATGTCAGCATAACTGTGTTCCGGGTGAAATTACAGACACATGAGACTTGTCAACTTATGTCACAGGGTGACGAGCGTAGTGGCAGTGCCCCTCCGATCTTTGCGATTTAAAGCTCTGAGTGGCACTGCAACTGTTATGGACAGGCGTGTAGCTTACCATCAGGCGCACGACTTGTTCGTCCCGTCTCTTGATAGTGCCAGGAATCACACGAATTACTTTTCTCAAACTTGAGAACTTCCTGTATTATGACTACCAAAGCAACGGTATATACCCCGAGATACTTCTCGAAGTAGGTATCCAGATCAGAACCAATTTACAAAAGTTCATTTCTCAAATTTGTCCGACCGGGCATTGAACCCGGAACCTCCTCACCCAGCATCCACAGTGCAAACCATTGAGCCACCGATGTGATAAAAAAGCGTGGAATTTGGTTTTCCAACAATGCTTTACTAAAAATAAAATAATATACATAAATAAATATATGTATGTAATAAATATATACATATATGTACACTCACATGTACTTCATCAACACTATTATACTGTCAAAGACAAAATGTAGGCCAATAGCATCGCGTTTTTGATACAATACAGACATGGAATTAAAAAAAAACATGACCTACCTGTACACAGATCATGAACTTCTTAATAGAGCTTGGAGTCAATCGAGCCAACATACTGGGCCCGAGAATGGCTGCATCAAGCACGTAAATGTCACCAGCAACGCCTTCTTTTTCTTCGATCAGACGAACGTCGCCAATCATGAGCGCAATCTTCAGAGTATCTACGATCTGCTGAGCCGTGAGGTCTGGGTGGATACCTGTAATCAGGTTTTAAATACATATAAAGGATTTTGATGCAAATTGCAGCATCAGATAAGTGATGGAATATTTAGTTTATAGTCGGTGTTTGTATCTTACAGAATTTTTTATAAAAAAAAAACCGATCCCTATGTACTAAAATTGGTACTACAATTTTAGTACTAAATTCTCGTGTCCTTGCGTATGAGAATAAAATTTGCCTCATATATTGTCGGTTAGTTAAAATGCTTATTACTTATATGGAATTTATATTCTGACCTACCTACTGAAATTTAGGTATTAGGTTAATACGTAAGTAGCGTAATCGCCGTTTTTTACAGCATTATGAAGTCACAAATTGCTAATTCGTTTTGAAAAAAAAACCGTTCTCAACAGTGTGGAATTACATCTATTTGCCAACTTTCATCGAAATCGGTATATAGAAAGTTATTTATATTCATCCCTTAATTTGCTACCCTTAGAAGTGGAGTATTTTCTTCAAATTTGAATGGGATCACAATTGAGGTATCCCTTGCCTACAAAAAAAAGAATCATGGAAATTCGTTCATAAATGTCTGACTAATCGCGTAACATACACACAAAAATATTGAATTGAGAACTTCCTCCTTTTTGAAGTTGGTTAAAAATAGTTAATGTAACGATTAATTTTAAGGTTTTGTAGTGGAAAGATGAACCCAAATAATGTGTGTATGTCCGTTTCTCCTATTAACATAGCTCTTTTTCTCGCTTGTTAGCCAAAGTGTAATAAAATTTTGTGCAGACTAAGTTGATGTAAAAATTACAAATACTGTTTTGGATAAAAAATATCAGTAGTAAAGGAGCTCTTCAATATAGTGATATCCTCTCCTATATACAGAATGCGATTAAGTAAAATAACGTAATGTATGACCATAGAATCTTATCGTAGGCATGTCCGTAACGCTCTAAGCAGGCTTTATTTTATGACACAGTCCTTACATACGTCACGTGTCGCTGCCAGAGATGGGAAGCGCCCAAGTTTTAACCGAGTTAAAACCTATTAGTACCTGAACTCGAGGGCAAAAACTATTTACAACTATATATTACAACAGATATTCAGTTGTAAATAGTTTTTGCCCTCGAGTAGAATGGAATTTCGTTCGTATTCAATGATGTTATTACGAAAAGTTTATTGCTTTTTGATCTAGACGATACGATTTGCCTTTGTATAGAATTGATTTGCTTGAAAATTGCATTGAAATTAATTGATACAAGAAACTGTTAAACCGCATGTACTTTTTTTTATAATGTCAAGTGACGCAACTAACAAGTCGAGCGCTTGATGGTAAGCTGCACTCGTGTCCATAACAGTTGCAATGCCACTCAGAGCTTTATATCGCTAAGATCTGAGGGGCACTGCCACTGCGCCCGTTACCCTGAGACATAAGTTGACAAGTCCCATGTGCCTGTAATTTGAAACGAAGTAGTGAGAAACACAGGATTGCAAGAACGGTGGGTATTGTGAGTTGATTCTTTCGTCTAAAAAATTTTTTTGTTTTAATACTTTCTGTCCACGAGATTGTAATTAGGGCAGAAATGAGTCAAAGCGCGACGCTTCGAGTAAAGCCCCAGATTAAAACGCGATTGGATTGGGTTTTAACCCACGGCCCATCCTCTGGCCGCTGCGAATAGTTGTCACCATTAAAAAACCGTCACATTGGAAAGGGAGTAAAGGTAGTACCTACCTCTACAGATGGTAACTCTTCTTCCATTTGGTGTAATACCAGGCAATGCAGGACCTTGGCTGAAAAGAGTTAAAGATATTTTTATTATAGTTAAGGTTGAAGATATTTTTAAAATAATATGCGTGAAGGA